ACAGAAATCCCCAATGGCCTGGACCATCATATCCGCAGAACTACCTTTCCTGCTATATTTTGCCAAGACAGGTGAGGTCTGTGTGTGGTCAAAGCTGACACGAAATGAAAGGAAATGGCTTGGGGGGGGTTATGGTATCCCTTGGGGGAGGGAATAGTTTTGCATGTGATTAAATACATTTATGGTGGCTTTTGTGGACTCCCCAGAAAAACAATTGCTTTCATTCCTAGGAATCAATTGCTTTTGTTTGTATTTTGAGTAAAAAATGATATTGTAAACTGGGTTTGCCTGTGTCATTCATAGTCTGTACATCCGGTACCTGGCATTACATTTTATGGCAATCATGGCCCAGCCTGACGAAGTAACATTTATATCAGATCCGGCCCTTGTAACAAATGAGTTTGACACCTCTCCCCTATGGGGTCACCATAAGTCATCTGTGACTTGCTGGCACGCGCGCACACACACACACACACACACACACAAGGCTATACTATAACGGAATGGTTCAGGGAGGTGTTTTGTACAGAGAAAGGAACTGTGGACCATACCACTACGTACAGGATGTATTTATCTGTTTGCTGTATGTATTTTGTCACTGCCTCTTTTTACAAATGTAATACCGTATTTCTGCATTGGGTCTGTGCTCTCCATCATGCCTCTTGTGCTATTCTTATTCAGGTATCTGTAATTATAGTCCTGAAAACCCTACAGGGTCACCATGTCAGCTACAACTTGACAGCACTTCCCAGCACCACCAATTATAGTCGTAGTCCAAATAAAGAGTGGACAGGGGAAGGTGAAATGAGAGAGAGCAGTACCACATTGCCCCATCTGCACTGCCAGAACACCCTCGACATTCCCTTGGACGACTGGTTACAGGAAAAGAAAGTGAGGCCTTCCAATATGAGTTTTGTGTTATTATTTATTCCCACAGCCTGTAGACACCAACTGCTGTACATCAAATGCCCTGATGGGCTTGCCACCTAAGATCCACATTACACATTCACTTTACGGTATGGTTAATGTCCTGTTTGTACCAAGTGGCCGCTTGTATAGATGGTGGTCAATCTTCTTTCCTCCTAGGTTGCACTGTAGTCTTGTCTCCTCTTCTCCAGTCAGACACGATCTGTTCTCGCTTCCTTCTTCAGCCTCTGGCTTAAAATTTGACCCTTCCATTGGTGCAGAGGTTATCCTTGCTTCCATTCTTTGATTTAAGGAGCTTTGTACCAAAGGAGGAGAACATAAGTCTATCCTAAGCTTCCTACACGTCTAACAGAAATAGCAACAGATAGCAAAACAGCACACAGGGCTGGCCCGAGGTATTTCTGCTCCCTAGGCAAGGCCAACTTGTCACACCACCCCCCAGGCAATGCCAACCTCCTGGCGGGGCCGGCAGACCTCCCAGAAACACACCTGGGAGGGGGGCGCTGGGTGCCACAAGCTAGCCTTGCCCCTGCCCAGGTTGGCTTCCCACTCACCCGGCCCGCTGGGGGAGACGCGAGCGAGCAGAGCCCCACCCCAAGCAGTCCCGGGGGGGGAGCGGGGTCTTCCTTCCTTCCTTCCCTTCTGCCACAGCTGGAGCAGGAGAGGGGGGGTGGCCAGACGGACCCACAGAGCTGCAACGACCTGCCTCACAAACTCCTCCTCTCCCCCCACCCCCCG